ATCCTTGAGATTATTCTTCAAGCCATTGGATCATGTATTAGGTCAAAAGTCAATGATCAGTCAAAACCCTAGTTTTGACCATTTTGCCCTTTTGGTAATTTGAACATTTTTCTTGAGGAATTTTGATCCAAATTTGATAAATTGATGAATATGACTTCAAAATTTTGATGTGGACCAAAAATATTGAAGTTTGACAGTAGTTTAACCATAGTTGACTTTTTACTCAATATAGTTGATTTTCAGTCATCTGGTCAATTGACTGAGCAAACTTGTGATTCAAGACTTGAAACTTGACTTGAGTATTCTTGGAGGTCTATAATGATCCATGAAGGTCATTTGAGGCATTGGAAGTCCAATTAACCTTGTGAAAATCAAAACCCTAATTTGAGGCATTCGTGTTTAGAAGATGGTTTGACCTAGTCAACACTTGTGCAAATTTGAGCTTTTGGAGATCTTGTGAGAAATGTCTTGAGAAAGAGGAGGGAAAATTTTGGGGTACAAAAATCATCTTTTGACATCTAGCATGTTCAGAGAAATTTTGGAGAACTCCATAGGTAATAGTTGTCTTTTGATCGGGTTCCCATCATAACCACCTAATTCTTATCATTTGTAATCAGGCACTCAGATTGAGTAAAGTTAATTTTAAGACCTTGATCACAAAATTGACTGATAGTTATCAGATTTGTTGTTTGCCCTTTTACAAATAACACATTATCGATACTAGGTTGCCCAACATAGTCCACCTTTCCAACACCTTTAATTTCACTCTTTAACCCATCTCCAAAAGTGACATAGCTAGTAGCATGTGGTTTAATGTCTACTAGGAATTTCTTAACACTAGTCATGTTTCTGGAACAACTACTATCAAAATACCATTCCTCTCTAGTTGAGGCTTTGAGAGAAGTGTAAGCTACGAGTCCATACGAGTCATGGTGAGGGGCTCCTCTTGACTTTGCCTCAGTATTAACATATTTCCTTCTGTAAGGAGTCCTATGGTTGGGTAAGCCATACAATTTGTAGCAAGAGGACTTTAAATGACCAAATAACCCATAATAATGACATCTCCATGACTGATACATGTTACTATAATATCTTCTCTGATGTATCAGCTGATGTTAGGACATATGCCTTGACATCTTCTATTCTTGTTTCATCTTTTGGAGAACAAACTTCACTACTTGCTTGTTGTTCTTCACAACTTGGTTATTATAACCAAGACATTCCCAACATTCTTCCCAGTTTGAAGAATATCGTTCAACACAGTAGTGTCATTGTTTAGCATTCTTAAATTTTTTTTCATATTGTCAAACTTTGATTTTTGAAATATTACCCCCTCTTTAATATTTGCAATGATAAATAGATGCTCTTCTTTCTCAGCCTCCAGTTGAGCAATAAACATCTTTTGCTCCAATACTCTCTGACACATTTTCTCATTCTTGAGGCACATCTTTGTGAATCTAGTAGCCAGTTCACTAATAGTGAGTTCTACAATATATGATTCTTTATCAAACTCACATGAATCTTTATCAGACCCACATATTCTAGTCAAGGCAGTCACTTACTTGGTTGATTCTTCTTCATGTTCACTTTTAGATTCTCCATCTGACCATGATACAAATAAGTTATTCCCTTGCCTTTTGAGATAGGTGGCACATTCGATTCTTATGTGTCCATATCACTCACATTCATGGCACTGGACACCTTTCCCTTGGTTTGGATTCTCTTTAAATCTTGACTTCCTTCACAGGTCCTGGTTTTTGTTGATGTCGAATGACATGTTCTTAGCACTTAACTTGGACTTCCTCAACACCATGTTAAATTGTCTTCCCAGTAGAACGGGATCCTTAGATACTCCTTCTGAGTTCATATTTCCTCTATCCTGCGAGCTTTCAGCACCGAAAGAAAAATCTATACTTTTCTTCTTTTCAGACCTTTTGTTGATAACAGACTCAAAATTCTTAAGTGAACTTACAAGTTCATCTACTGTCATAGTGCTTAAATATTGGGATTCTTCAATAGCAACTACCTTCATGTCAAATCTCTTTGGAAGGGATTTGAGCATCTTCCTGATCATCTTATCTTCTGATATTTTTTCTCCCAGATCTTCTGAATCATTTGCAATATCTAGAACAACCATGTGAAAGTCCTGAATACTTTCATCCTTCTTCATCTTCAAGTTCTCAAATTTGATGGAGAGAAGTTCAAGTTTTGCCATCTTTACCTTATAATTTCCTTCATGAACCTTCTTTAAGGTTTCCCAAGTAACTTTAGCATGCTTGCAATTCTTTATCAGCATGAAGACATTCTTATCAACTCAATTGAATATAGCATTCAATGCTTTGGAGTTTCCTTGAGCTGATAACTCGTCATTATCATCCCACTCTTCTCCAGGCTTCAACACATCAATGTCATTCCCTTCTGCATCCAAAATCTTTGGAGGATCCCATCCTTTGATAACATTTCTCAAAGCCTTGTCACCCAAGAATTTTATGAAGGTTTCCATACGAGGTTTCCAACTGTCATAGTTAGTACCATCCAAATTCGATATTTTAACCACAATTCTAACATCTTTTTTCATTGCAGCAGAAAGTAACTTCCCTGAATCTCACCCAGATTTAGAGCAGGATGCCTGCTCTGATACCAATTGAAATTCTGGCGCTATCAGATCCTGGATGTCCTAAGAGATGTCGGGACACCAGATCCGACTTTAAGATACAACACCAAGGTATATGAACACAATAAACAATGCAAAAGGTAAATAACACACATGTATACTTACCCAATTTGGTGACAACCACACCTACTTTAGGGGCTACCAAGCCAGGGACAAAATTAACTAGATAGTATCAATTTGTAGACCTCACAACAAACATCCCAGTTTACAGCCTATGCACTTAATCACTACCCTTTGCTTAACTTATAACTAAGACACACCTAGGTATGAGGCCCTCCTCAAATCCCTCTTCAATCACACTCAGTGATTGAAGCAACTCTAAACACAAGTAGAGAACAAAACCAGAAGTCACTCTTCCAAGACACACAAAACTCAATGCTTAAAAGCTTATGAGAATTGACACACAAACACTCAATGCTTAGAGCATCTGACACAGAAGTTACAACCCCAAAACAGTCTTACTCTTCTATCAAGATGATATTAGAGAGACTCACAAATAAGGATTCTAAAACCCTAACAAAACACACACGTAAATTCTACCTAATACTAGGTACACACCAATCTATTTATAACATTATTTTGGACTGGGTTGGACTTCAAATCGCAGTAGTGAGGCTGCACAAAGTCTGCACAAACTTCTCCAAGAAAATAGGTCTTCGATAATTAATTTCCTAAAATGTCTCCATATTTAGAAACTGTGCATATCTTCCAAAACCAACATAGAGTATCTGATTTGTCAATCTTGGACACCACATAAGCTAACTAAATATTCCATGAATATTCAGTAACTAACATATCAGCTGAAACATAACTGTCAGCTGCAGCAGACGCGATACGATATCCTCCTGGTTGGGACATCTTATACGACATGTTGAAACTGCAAGTTGGAACATCTTATTCAACATGTTGCTTCCAAGTTGGTTTTACCAAAATGTATGCCAATCACGATTTCAAAGAAATAACAAATCCCAAGAAACATATAACACCAACACTTCTTCCTACCATAGCCAAAACGCCCAAACATCACAATACCAAAACATGTAACAAACATATGGCTACCAAACACCACAACAATAATTTCTGCCTTTCTCCAATGAATCATTCATACCAATGTCGTCATTCAATCGACCAGAACGCTAACTAATAACCCCATAAACACAACCCAACTACAACAACATAGTCCATAAACTCAGTTATGACAGTGCGTCAATACATACACAAACTATATAAAATTACAAGAACTTATTAGAGAATCTGGTAATTGTGATGTTCGAGGGACCTCCTTTCAAACACCCGAGGTGAATCAACCGAGATCGGTACAAGAAAAGACACCTAGAGGGTGTGGAACTGGTGATTTGTATGAGCAAGTAGGTCATCGCCGTTAGTGTACAAAATATTATCGCATGTAATCATATTTAAATTAAATTTAATACTTTTTATTCTTTTTTATATAATTTATTATTTTAATAAAAAAAGTATTACACTAAGCCGCTAGATGAATTGACGCCCCTCCTAAGTATTATATTATACATAAGCACTAATTGAATTAACTAGGTCTATATGAAACACCAATTCAATTGACAATAACTCTAAGTTTTGAAATGCAATCACTAATTGAATTGACATGCGCTATGTGTTGCTAATTATTTTTTGTTTGAAACATGAGTACTTTGGAAATTATAGGAGAAACTTGATTATTTGAGAAATTAATTTGAAAAGAGACCAAAAAATTAAGTTTTGAAGCAAGGAACCAAAAAGTTAAAATCACTTAAATAGAGAATCAAAAGTACATTTAATCCAAATTACTTTTAGATGTAAAATTAACAAAATATGTTTATATATATATATATATATATATATATATATATATATATATATATATATATAATTGATTTGATTTTCAAATTAAATAGTTATTTAAAAAGAAAATGGATGATGCACTGCCAATATAAAATATTTTTACAATATCAACCAATGACAATCATGTAAAGTGTTAAATCATACTTTAAATTTTAAAATACTTTTATGATTTGACATTTTAAACTATTCTGATTAGATATCTCTATAATTTTTTTTTACACTGACCAATACACTATCATTAAATTGTAATAGTTATATAAAAATTAAAATATATTTTTGTTACAAAAGGTTTTGCACCGTTTGTAAAGAAAAACACTCCTTCTATACTATTCCCTTTCTTCAACCTAGATATGTTCGGTAACGTTGGTAATAAAATCTAGAGTTTTGATAGTTGAAAAAATAAAAGTGGTTTGTGTAGAATCGATTCGACCAGACGCAGAAGCTACATAGAGTTGCTTCAGATAAAATGAATTCTATTGTTGAGAGGCAAGTTTCCTTTACGGATCCGATTTTCAACAGCGGAATGGCTTTGAACACTCCAATACGCTCCAACAGCACACCTCTCTCCAACTCAATCTTCAAATCTAAACCCGTATTTATTTCCCACTCTCTCTTCTCTATTCTTTTTTTTCTTCATCAAATGAATCTCACTCACTCATGCATCTATTTTCTTGTTCTTTTTTTTTAGGTTTTCTTACATGAATGGTGGCTTGTCAAGCCTCAAAACCAATGCAATGGTTTTGCTCTTGCTGGCATTGCTTCAATGCCGTAAGTTTTTTTCAATTTTAGGTTTTAATTTGTTCTGTATTTGGGTAATTAATCATTGCAACTACTGATGCATGCAGGGCAGAAAGAATGTTTGTTTCATCTGTGATTGTAAAGGTACATGAACCCAATGTTGTAGAGACCCAAGATGGAACCATCTTAGCCTTCCGCTCTTTCATTAACTCCTCTCGTACATTACAAAACGGTTTTTCTTCTGAGGTGGTGTTATTCCTCTTTTTACTTTTATACATTTAAGGAATACTGTGTTTGGTTGTGTGTGATTGTGCTTGTTATTCACTCAATTAATTTTCTGGTAATATACAATGTCATTCAATAGGTATGCCAACGTTTCTCAATTGGATTTCCACACGATTGGGAAAAAATTTCCACACGTTTATCAGTTGATGTTTCAAGTACTTCTTCCCACAAAGAAACAACTAATGATACTTCACAGGAAGCTATGGAAGCTGAAGATAACAAGAAAATTACAAGTCTTAGGTTGTCTCAACCACAAGTTGACGTGATTTATAATGGTGAAAATGGGTTCGCAAATGTTGATGACTCAAATGCTTCTCCCTGCCAAAAAACAGCTGATGAAACTTTGCAGGAAGCAGAAGGTAATGACAATATTGCGAGTCATAAGTTGTCTCATCCGCAAGTTGAGGTGGCTTATAACGGTGAAAATGAAGTCTCAGATTTTGACGACTTGAATGCTTCTTTCTCCAAAAAGACAGCTGACGTGACATCACACGAAGCTAAGGAAGCTGAAGATGACAACAATATCGGGTGTCTTAGGATGTCTGAGCTGGAGGTTGACGCGATTAATACTGGTGAAAATGGAGCTTCAAGTGTTGCTGCAGTTGAAAGTAATGAATCTAAGATGGGTGTGTTTGAATTTGATCTTGACTTGGAGCAAAGCAGTGTCAAGTCTCCACTTCATCCGAAGAAATTGAAGTTATCTAGTGACCGCAAGGAGAATAATAAACGTCTCAAGCAAAAGATTGTAGAGGATCCTGCTAATTCATGTAGAAGGGTGGTGACAAGAAGCATTGCCAAAAATAGTCACGTAATGCTTAAAAAGGATAGGAAAGTTGGAGCGAAATGTTTTACTTCTCCTGAAAGAAGATCCTCTAGGGTACATAATTATAAAAAATGAGCTGTTTACAATTATTCTGTTGGATTTTGATCCTAACTAAGCAATTATTTTGCTTGTTTTTCTAAGATATAAAGGTAGGTGTAGTTGTCCTAGGATTTGGAGGCCTTTGGAATGTTATAATTGGTGCCTGAGGAAAGCATATTTTATTAGTATTAGAGTTTTCTTCTTTTTACTTGTCCCTGTTTTGGTTTGTTGAATTTAGGGCATGTATGCACATCTAGGACTCTGGTTTTGAATTTAGGACATGTATACAATCATAACAAACGAAGAAGATATATTTAACCATGAAAGAATGTGCAATAGCGATGAGTTTTACATAAAAGGAGAAGAGATACAAGAGACTTTGAATATAACATTAGTTTAATATTGTTTAGAATAACTTGATAAATGATTTGATATTTCTGACTTGTGTCTAACATGGGTAGTGTGCCATGGGTACCATTCAATGCAGTAGTACATTTGCAAAGAATATGTACAGAAAACTATTGAAAGGAATACTAATAAATAGGTCTTTCTGGATAATTTGTGTTGTTAAAGAAACCAATATATCACTTTCTCTCCTAAAGCACTAGATGCATTAGCAATCTCAAGAATGTTCATATGGAAGTCATTAATACTTTCATTATTCTTCATTCTCAAATTCTCAAATTTTGTGGTGAGCAACTGAAGTCTTGACATCTTAATTTTGGATATGCCTTCTATAGACTAAAGATGAATGGAGCCGTCGAAGCTGTTATTTTGCAATTATGTCTTCATAGTCTGACAACTAATGATGAACATGATTAGGATGTTGAGAAGGACACGAATATGTTCTTAACATCTTATCTTCACTTTTTCTGTCTCTCTTGAGGCATTGTCATTGCCCTTGAATATGTAACTTCTGTTTTTATTCTTGTCAAGGCACCTTTAATGCTCTCTTCTTTTTGACTGAGGGGAACAGTACCGAGTTCCATTCCATTGATATCTTCATCGCCATAAAAGGGTCCGCAATGACAACATTCACCCGATTGTGGAAGGATATTATTATCGCTAACTATTTCATCCACCATTTTGTACTTCAGATCCTCAGGTACATGTTTCTCCGACATGTTCTCTTTTAGCCGTAATTTTTAAATTTCATGAATATATAACCATTATTAATAACAAATGTTGAATTACATAGAATTTTACCAAGAGGAAAAAAACGTACCTGTTTGTTTACATGGTTCTCAGGAAATAGCTCCACGGCAGTAGTTACAAAATTTTCACCATAACGTTTTTCAAACAATTTTCTGAGGACAAATAGTTCACAAATATTCCCACATCTTGCAGTTGCAAATATAAGACTAGAAATTGCTTCTTTTATATCATTTGGACAATCCCTGATTTTAGAAAATTGAACAATCAAAAAACTAGGGAGAGTATAATAGAATTGAAAATTCGCAATGTGATGCTTTTGCTTCCATTTCTGATTTTGAAAAAAGAAGGTAGGAAACCATTTGTACCTGTGTGTACGAATTCATATGAGTTGGCAAAACTTGTCTAACAATTCATATGTTTCTTTCTGCCAAACATTAATTTATCATTAACTGATCAACCTGAAATTTTGACAAAAGTTACTACTCACTCATATTTCAGAATATCAAACCAAGTTAATGTTAATGTTTTTATCAGTAAACTACCCGGTTAAGAACAACAACTTCTTCGTAACCATCTTGTATTAGCTCAATCAAATCTTTTCTTAGTTGTTTTACAATTGTTTGTCTCCTGTTCTTGAGAAGTTTGATTTTATATCGAGTTGTTTTAATAGGCTTCTTGCTGAAATGAAGGAAAAAAACCAATTAGAAGAGTAATTTGATTTTGTGACATAGATAGAAGGAAAAAAGAATGTTACATGACTTTCATTTAGAGGTATTGCTTCTCATGATGTGAGAGATATCATGCTTGTAAGAGCATTATTAGATTCTCGTAATTTATTGCTGTAAAAACCACACAAAATTTGCAAGCAGTTAATGAAGCGATAGATAATTTAGGACAAAGCAACCCGTACAAAATGGTCTTAAGCTTCTTGTTTTAATTCATGTTATGTAGTTTTAATTTCTTGTGAGGCATTTATATTGTTTTTACAGTTTCTTTTTTATTCCTTTTGTTCTCTTAATCTATAGATACATTTGTGGCATCCTGGTATAATAGAGGCAAATATGGACCTTGCTCTGCATCTATTCGAGTAATATTATCATTAAAGGTGGTGTCTGTTGATTTTCTATACATATAACACCCATAAACTGATAGCATAGATCCACGCTACAAAAAGAAAGTTCAAATTGGGAGACATAAATATGTCAAGACTTCAGAAATTAAAATTTGTGTAGATCTTTAGTCTTTACCTGTCTATACTAAATTTTTGAATGTGTAAAACATCACGAAGGTGCAAAATGAGATATGATTCAAGAAATGTGATGGAGCCAATGATGAAGGCATGATTCAATCTGCTCATGTTGGTGTTGGCGTAAGTGGAATGAAGTGAATTCAAGTAGTGATGGCTAGTGATTTTGCCATTGCACAGTTCTGTTACCTTGAAGATTTGCTTCTTGTTCATGACCGCTGATCATAACTTTGAATACGCAAGTTTCATGTTTTTATAAACTAATTAAGATTGTATGGACCTGTATAGCGTTTTATTTAGACACACTTGAAAAGTTTAATTTGCTTATTGCTGGTTATTATCTACTTCTTTTACAAGAATATCATATTTACTCTAACTCAGTTTTGGCTTACTTTTCAAAATGGATTTTCTGGTCAAAGGATCTATTATGATTCGTTTTAGTCTTCATATAATGTCATTTTCACGTCAGTGCATGTGGTCATATAATAGTCTATCTAAATTCTGAGTTAGTGTTAAAATTTTGTAATTTCAGTGTCATTTGTAAAGAAATTTCGACGGATTAACTGCCATGGGCCAGGATGACACACTCATTAATGCTTTTGAAGACGTCGACCCGGAAGATGTTCTTGGAAGTTGTAAAGACTATTGTTTTGCATAAATAGACGTTGACCCGGAAGCATGCACATGTCTGAGTGTGTTTGGAAACTCTGCCAGCTGCCGCTACCGCATGTTTTAAGCTACACACACCGTGTTTTTCGGAAGCACTAATGCTAGGTTCTATGAAAAGTGAAGTGTCACTGTGATTTTGGAATAATACCAAACATAGGCTGAGCCTAACTTGTTCTATGTTTCGTCTAATACATTTATTCATTTATTCATATGTATTAATTTTATTTATAGATTGAAATCAAATTCCAATTGTCTGATAGTTTTGTGTGCATTGTAGATTGTTTATGGCATCATCAACTGCTACTGCAACGACATGATGGTACAGAGGAAGAATGCAAGTTGTTCCTTTGGGTGGTTGCTTGATCATTATGGAAATTTTGAACGACGGAAACTTTGTCCCGATTGATACCTTAATAGCAGTAAAGAATGTCGAAGGGTCCTAAATGACTCAATTGACAAAATGGTTTCATCTATTCTCTCCAAAGACACCCATTATAAAGGGGTTAGTTATGAATGTTATATCCTTGTAGTGTCTATATGTATGTGGGTGAATGCTGAAATGTAGATTTGTTTTTCTATTCTAATAAAGCATGGGTGTGCTATTTCCTATCTATATACAAGAGTTGTTTTGATCTGTTGAAAGCTACTTCCGGGCATCAATGCACATATAATAAATGATTCACCATCACGCCCTTCTTTCCGCCATAGAACTACGGGAGAAAAACGGGAGAAAAACAATTAGAATTAACAAGTTGATTATTTTTCTTTTGAACAATGTTTACTAAAAGAATGCAATTTTGCTATAAATATAAAGACATGTGTTAATTGTTAGAATTAATTTAGATTTAATTAGATATTAATTTATATTTAGAAATATCTTTTAGATTGTTTATATCTTTGTTAGAAGATATAAATCTTAGATCTACTTATATCTTTGTAGAAGATATATTTTAGATTTAATTTGTGTGTATAAATAGCCTAGTGGAGTAGGTTATTGTAATTCATTGTAAATTCTTATTTTTGAAGCTATCAGTAAATATTCCTTTTGCCTTTTATCTTCCTTGTGCTCCAATAATTGGTATCTAGAGTTCCTGGTCAGAAACTCTGGAATTTGGGAAACATTGATTTTTCATTGAGTTTCTGCGTAAATTGCACAAGGTAGAAGATGAACGGAAACGACGATATTCATTCCAAGCTTCCAGTATTTGATGACAATAACTGAAATCGTTGGAAGATCCAGATGCGCATGTTATTTGGTTCTCAAGATGTGTTAGATCTTGTCACTGATGGCTATAATCTGTTAGAAGCAGACGCAACAGAGGCCCAGAAGATAGCACATAAGGCGCTGAGGAAGAAAGATCAGAAAGCGTTGTTCTACATTCATAAATGTGTGGATGTGAATGTGTTTGAGAAGATTGCTGATTCTGAAACAGCAAAGGCTGCGTGGGACACACTGGTCAGATGTTACGGTGGTGACGCATCAGTGAAGAAGGTGAAGCTTCAGTCTCTCAGAAAGCAATATGAGAATCTCAACATGAATGACAACGAGAAGGTTTCTGAATACATCTCTAGAGTGATTCTGATTACTAATGAGATGAAAGCCTGTGGAGAAACTTTGTCTGAACAAGTAATTATTGAGAAGATCTTGAGATCTTTAACTTCTCAGTTTGATTACATTGTTGTAGCAATTGAACATTCTAAAGATCTGAGCACCATGAGAGTTGAAGAGCTGCAAAGTAGTCTAGAGGCGCATGAGTTGCGTATGACTGCAAAAACTTCTGAGAGGGAAGTAGAGCAGCAAGCCATGAAAGTAACTTCTGGTAAGAAGCATCAGAAGCAGACCTGGTCAGAAGCCAGGAAGAGAACTAATGGTGGTCAAAAGTCAGACTCTGATAGGCAGAAGAATGTCCAGAAGGGAAAGGAGAAGTCTGACAAGAAGAATGTTCAGTGTTACTGTTGTAAGAACTTTGGTCACTATGCCAGAGATTGCTGGTCCAATAAAGAAAGGAAGTCAGAAGAAGCAAATATAGCAAGAGGAGACTCTGATGATGGACCTGTGCTATTGTTTGTATATTTATTTAATTGTCTATTTAAATATTGCTTCTTTATTATTTGATACAAAAAATTCAATTTAGATGTAATAGTTAATCTTAGGGTTTTATTTTCTTGCAAATACTCCCCATTCAAAATTGTATCCCCCTCCCCATATCAATGTTGTAATAGCGTAGCTTTATTTTACGCATTTTATAGCTTTTAAATATGTCATGATAGAGATTAGGATTTGTATACAATATCCAAAATCAAAACAAATAGCTAGACCTAATGCAAGACATAAAAGCATGTAAATTGACAATACAATGCACACATGCATCCCTAGGGTTTCATCTATTTGTTGCCTTTAAAATAGTATGCATGCTAGGTATCTTGGCAAAATAAAACAAAACAAAACAAAAGATCATAGTCCCTCGATGACGCTATCTTGGTTGCCTATACAAAATGATCTAGTCCCTCAAAAATTTGCTAAAGATACTTAGCACAATTGCTATCATGGTCAATACGATGACCCGCGCTTGTCCCGTTTAACATCCAAATACAAGGTTGTTTACCAAATACAATGGTAAAACAACAATGTAAAAGGGTTAAAAATGTGTAGGAAAGACTCTTGAGTAGATAGGGTAGACAACTCTTAGTTACTTGATCAAACTTGCAAACATCCTTGCTATTTTAAAAAACAACACAATTTCAAAACATTTCCCAAAACAAACTTTCAAACATTGAAACATCTTTTCAAAAGACAAACACCTTTGTATACATTCAAACAAGAATCATTACAAAGGTTGCCTAGACAAAAGGTCTCTTTTCAAAACATTTTCAAAACCACGCACAAAGCACCATTTCAAACAATTGAAAAGCAAAGGCAAGTGATCTAAACAAGTAACTAAGAGCCCATGGATAACCATGGATGAAAAGGGTGCTTGCACCTTCCCTTTTCATAATCTACCCCCCGAACCCAAGAAAACATCTCAAAGGTCTTTCATGTGCTTTTTGACCTTTCCTTTGGATAAAATAAAAAGTCGGTGGCGACTCTTGCTAAACCGAAACATTTGCGAACACAAACGCAAAACCTCAAGTCAGTTCTCCCACCGTATCACACTGAAATATCCAATTCAAGGGAAAATCATCATTGTTTATGGAGAAGAAGATTATATGGTCAGTCATCTAAATTCCTTCAGATATGTGGAATTAGATGGTAAATTTATTGAAACTCCATTCTAACGCTTTGAAGAGTTCTCGCAAACTGTGGCGGTAACCAAGGTTGTGTCTCAAGTCCCCAAGATCACAAGGCCTCCGCTCAAGATGTCATCTTTGAAGGATGTCAAGGCAGTGATAGAAGAAGGTGGGTGCACTATTTGGGGACAACTCCCAGATATCCCATATAAATCTGACAAATTTGGTTTGGGTTTCACTTCAGGAGCCCAGAAAGCTATACGCCGCGCTCGTGCTGGAGGACCACCCTTAAAGATCAGCAACCATCAAGTCAGCGCCGTGGAGGATGATGAAGACAACTATAACCTGGAGGATTGAATTTTCCCAACTGTCAGTGGAGGGCTTAGCAACTGGGAGGCTAAAGATTTTGTCCCCATCACATTTATCCAACAATAATTTGTCTTTAAATTTTGTCGGATATGTAATATTAAAACAATTCAGACTCTTAAAATCTTGTGTCTTACCCCAGGCACAATGGTCCATTTGTAAGGGTTATTATCTCATTTCCATATGACATCAATGAATCATGGACGTTTTTTGCATACAAACTTTGTGCTCATTGTTTTTTCTTTTTTACATTTTTATTTCTTTCAAAGATAGATATACTCTTACACACACTCACGCTCACAATGCAGGTTTACATCCACTCGGGATCCCATGGGTAACGATTCTGCTATGGCCTTCTGTGATTCTGAAAATCTAATCTACCAAGCCGAAGACAAAGGTGAGGAAGATTATGAAGTGCCAGGGTAACTCGCCAGGTTACTACAACAAGAAGAGAGGACCATTCAGCCCCACGAAGAACCAGTGGACACAATCAACCTAGGTACCGAAGAAGAAGAAAGAGAAGTCAAGGTGGGTGCCAATCTGGAACCCAGTGTTAAAGAGCGCATGATTCAGTTGTTACACGATTATGTTGAGGTCTTTTCTTGGTCGTACGAAGACATGCCAGGACTTGATGCAAATATCGTGGTACATCGTCTATCAACAAAAGAAGACTGCCCACCAGTAAAACAAAAGGTCCGTCGCATGCGACTAGACATGTCCGAAAGGATCAAAGAAGAAGTCATGAAACAATTCAACGCCGGGTTCTTGGTTGTCACTTACTATCCACAATGGGTTGCCAATGTTGTTCCTGTGCCTAAAAAGGACGGTAAAGTACGAATGTGCATGGACTACAGAGACTTGAATAGGGAAAGCCCTAAGGATGATTTCCCACTTCCCCACATTGATATTTTAGTTGACAATACATCACAACACAAAGTGTCTTCATTCATGGACGGTTTCTCAGGCTACAACCAAATCAAAATGGCGCCTGAGGACATGGAGAAAACAACATTTGTCACACAATGGGGCATATTTTTCTACAAGGTTATGCCATTCGGATTGAAGAATGTAGGGGCAACCTATCAGCGTGCCATGGTAGCTCTATTTCATGACATGATACATCACGAAATAGAGGTCTATATGGAAGACATGATAGCAAGATCTCAAACAGAAGAAGAGCATCTTGATCACTTGCAGAAATTATTTGAGAGGCTAAAGAAATACAAGCTGAGGTTGAACCCAAATAAATGCACGTTTGGAGTGAGGTCTGGTAAACTCCTAGGTTTTGTCATCAGTGGTAAAGGTATCAAAGTGGATCATGCCAAGGTGAAAGCGATACAAGAGATGACTTCTCCTCATACTGAGAAGGAAGTCATATGATTCTTGGGACGTTTAAACTACAATGCCAGATTCATTTCTCACCTAACAGCTACTTGTGAACCAATCTTCAAATTACTGAAGAAAGATCAAGTAGTCAAATGGAAAGATGAGTGCCAAACTGCCTTTAACAAGATCAAAGAGTACCTGCAAGAGCCTCCTGTTTTGATGCCACCGGTCAAGGGAAGACCATTGATCATGTATCTAACTGTTTTGGAAAATTCAATGGGG